GAACTTGTCCTTCAAGAACATTGTATATTTAACATTTCTTGATGTCAGCGCTAGCCGATTCTTGAGCAAAACGTAAGTAGACACGCTGAAAGCAGATTCACTGGGAACACTGGTGGCACTCATCGCCAAATATTTCCGTGCCAGAATAGTCAAACTTGGTATTGAGCTCCCGTGTTCTCGCCAAAATGTTGAATAGTCATAGTTGTCCTTAGGAATCGATGCAAGTTTTGCTAGTTCTTGATGAATAGTCAAAGTTTTCTTGGCACCTGTAGTTGCCATAGAACAACTGATAGTATCGTATCAGTCACTTAAAAAGCTGTTTAACAAGTGTGGTATCAGACTGATACCACACTTGTTAAACAGCTTTTTAATTTGAGTTCCACCTTTAGTGATAGCGAGTGAGCATTTCTTTCTAACTCTTCAGTATCACCAGCAATAGTTGTCATCGGCATACTTTTGTATTCAATTGGATTATCGTAACCACGTATCCAGCTCCAGCTCCTACTCATGTGAGCTGTTAACCAGCTCCAGCTCCTACTCATGTAAACTGTTGATCAGCTCCAGCTTCAACTCATGTGAGCTGGCGATCAGCTCCTTTCATATGAGCTTAAAATGGTGTGCTAGCTACCGCTCTCGGAACTGATATGGAACTGTCACACCCCTACTCCCGAATCATGTTTTATAACTCGACCTCTGCACTGTATCTGAATAGCGTTGGATTAACTTGTGGATGCAACAATGTCAAAAAATTCTTTATAGAATTCACCAAAGTGTTAAAGAATAAAATGGAGAACTTTGTTGCTACATTTAATAATTAATCATTGTGTATCTGATGTTGTTCCATTACGCTGATATTGATGATTCGCTCTATTCATAAAATAGCTTGTAGACCAGACTACGTTCTCGTGCATCATACACGTGTTCCGGAACATAGTATAGATGTAACCAGTCAAGATTTTCTCGACCGGGCTGGGCCGACCGGTTATATATTTTCCTAGTGTGTAAATGTAAAAGTGCTAACGACAGAGGAGTGCTAAGGCTTCTGGAAAAACGTCCATAGCTCCCGAACCATGGATTTCCAAGATATCTCTTAGATCCAGTTTTGTAGAGGACACTTCGGACTATATATGTATGAAAACAAATCCATAAATTTCTATGTCAGCTTTCAGAGAACCGAACTGGTTTTCCACAGATCTCCTGAAAAAACGATCTTTGAAATTTTTCCAAACTCTTTTTTGCTTGCGAAAATATAGCCTCAGATCTTGGCTAGCGAATGATGAAAACCGCAAGTCTCTATCTTTTATTCCTCTTGAGTTATTAAAAAAATAACGACCGGCCTTGTATTTTAGCGCCGATAATAGTGCAACAAACATTAAAAAAGAAAGAAAAACGAACGGAATATTCACGTAGTAGAGATTAACAGCCTGCTCTCGAAGACGGTTGACAAAAAAGAGAAAACCTAACTAACTTTCTTAATCTGAAATATGAAAAGCTTTGTTTTACTTAGCTCAGCAAACTCGTTTTCGACGAAGTACTGCTTTTTCAGACAAAAAAAACATTTTTTTCCTCGACCGGTCAGGAATTCCTGACCGGATCGGGCCGGATCGACCGATTGCTAGTACCATCTCAGGAACATAGTCTACTGTTCAATTTAGGATCATCAGAATCATCACTAATGTGGTGATTATCACACAAGAAAAATGATTACACTAAGCAGTTAATTATACTGTTCTTGAATAGATCAGGGTAAAATCATACTAGATTATTTGCAATTATACCATGGTTGTTGACTCGAATAGTTCACTACTAGACAGCGTAGACCTCCTCGATTCAAGAATTTTTATAACACAACGAGCAGTGATAATAACAAGGCCAGTTAATTCGATGTCGCGCCGATGACTGATGCGCGTGGGAAATGTAATTAAAACTCGTATGGATAGTTACCCGATACAAATAATGTATCATGAGCTTACCAGCTTCATTAATAGACAAGTCGTTTGCTGACTTTAGTAATTGTAATACGCCAATTTTTTCTCTTAGTGGAAAAATTGTTCATCATTCAGTTTTTAACCGTGATCAAGGAAACTATCAAAAATCAAACGTTTGCGGAAGTTGACGCTGTTTCACATGCTACCCATAGGGAAATGTTAACACAAACCGCGTCGTGAACACCGGTGAACGTCGTGAAACAAAATGTGAGTGCAAGTGAACATTGTTAAATGGTGTGTTGGCACGCGTGAAAAAACTATCCGCTTGTGACTAGTCGTGAACTGTACACGAAAAATTTTGCCATCACATTTTTCGTACGTGGTCAATAGTGGAATATGTGACCACTCGTGAAAAAGTTATCCGCCTGCGACCAGACGTGAACAGTTCAAGAAAACATATATATGCCGTTTCTGTGGCGTGACCGCTAATGAAACTCGAGACGCGTGTAGTGGCCGCGCGTGGATTTTTTGCGTTAAGATTTTCGTAAGAGAGTTTCACTGCGAACACGCGTCAGAATGTCTAGAACAAATTTATTATAAAAGATAGCACTTCACATTGATCCACGCGTAATTTTTTGTGTGTATAGAAAAGAACTTCATAAGAAAATTACACATGGATTAATGTGAAGTACTACCTTTTATAATAAAATTCGTTTTAGACATTCTGACGCGTGTTCACCAGTGAAACTTTTTTTACTGCAGACCGAATATATTATCTGTAGGAATATGCCGGGGAAACATCTTGTTCCCCAGGAGGAAGTATTAACTAAAAGCAGTTTGAAAACTAGGAAAAAAGGTTTAGAAAGTTTCACGAGTAACCACGCGTGGGAAACTTTTTACACATGGGAACTCGTAAGGACTAATCCGACAACTACGGATATGAGATTTATTCATTAGTTTCTCAGGCAAGTTAGCTCAATAGTAGTATCGTAGATTTCTAATTCAAAGTATCCTGGTTCGACTCTTACTTTGTGGTGATATATATAAAATGTGATATTTTAGAAACTAGTGGTCACAACTGGGAAAAGTTATAGATCAAGTTGCATTACTGAAGATTGCGTTATACCACAGTCACCATGGTCAAGATTTTTTCACACATAATCACGCGTGGAGGGGTTCACAAGTGAACAATCTCCACTTGTGAACACGCGTTTGATGTTGCAAGTGCATGACCCCGAAGTCGTGAAACTTGCTGTCTTTACCTCCCAAATTTTGTGAAAGTCTAAGGGGAAGTTCACGGGTCCTCACACGCGAAATATCGATAAAATTTCCCCATGGGTAGTGATATTATTATCTGTTCCAGAAGTCAAGGCACTCGGTTGTTTTTTGAATAACTTTTGATAAGAACAAGATGAAGACCTGCGGTTTTCGCCATTCGAAAGAGGAGACTTGGATGCATGTTTTCATAATCAATATCATTTTCAGACGAGTTTTTTGAAATAGGTTTGAAATAGGTCCTATTCATAGG